AGTCCGGTCGGACCAGCGGCCATCACTACGAGGTGGCGGCTTGTTTGTTGCGGAATGTCTCGAAGAACGCCATCATCCCTTTCCTCACATTGCTGCTGCTGCTGCCCTTTGGCATCGGCACCAATGTGGTGCTGCTGCTGCTGTTTCCATGGTGATGGGATGTCAGCGGGGGGAAAGCGATGCCGTCCATGGAGTTGGCTCGTTTCACCTTTGATGGAGTTGCACGCCAAGATTTGGTTCTGGGAGGCGGAGTCTGAGCCACCAGACACTTCTGGTACTGGAGCTGATGGGAGGAAACAATGAGATGAACCACCAGCAGGGGGCGACAACACAATGGCTACAAAACACATGACACATGACACATGACAAACACAGTGTTGGGTGTCCCAGCCTGGGACTCCCAGACAATCCCAGAGCTGATTCAGGGTGCGATTACTATTCACATCCAGCCTGAAGGGGCTGGTTGTGTTTGCTTTTCGGGCTTCCTCAGGTTTTCTTTCTCTGATATTAAAATTTTGTGTGATAATCTGAAATGTTTCAGTGAGATAAGAAAGCAAAAACAGAAGAAATCTCAAGGGAGTGAATACTTTTTCACAACTCTATAGCCATGAGTTGCACCCTGATGACTTCTTACTTTGCTTGCTTGCAGTCAGAGGGAGAGGGATCCCCCTGTGGTGAGAAACAGTACCGCTGAGGATGGGAACTTCACAGCTCAGTTTGTTAAACCTCCAATCAGTCAGATAATAATACTCAATAAAATACAGTTGATATGTCAACAGTACTATCAGTGGTACTAACAGTAGTACCATCACTGTGATATGGCCCCTAATTCCTGCAGGAGGAAACAGGAAGGCTTCTCTCTAAGGGTGATGATATTTTTCTGTCTGTTTCTAAATTTCACAGATACTGAAATGTGAAACTCTTTAGCGGTGTTCTGATTCTGTGTAAAAGCTCATAATCATCCTCATCCTCACCATGCACGCCGCCTGGACAGCCTCAGAGATGATCCCTGCGTCCGGTTCACACCAGAACACGTGACACTCAAATTGCTGCGTCCCGGCGTCCACGATCACTGCAAAAGTGTGGCTGTCATGGCCGACGCCAAGGAAGGTGAGGAATCGCACCTGGCATTCCCAGAGTGGCTCGTCTCCGTCCTGCTGGCAACCAGCAACAGTTAGACAGGTGAGGCGACATATTACCTGAGCTCCACCAGCAGCGAGGACGGTACCTCCCCCTTCCACAGAGACAGAACCCTGTCACTGATGTGGATCACCGTTGGCTCCCAGTCGTCGCGGTCTGTGGAGTTCATGATGCTTTCAATGGCTCTGTTCAACACCTCCATACCTGCAGAACAGCAGACAGTCCGGCGGGTCGGTTACAAAACCCCCCTTCATTCAGAACTGGGTCTATTGATCAGGATTAGCACAGGCTCAGGCTCTGCTAATCCTGGTCTAGATCTTTAGGATATTGGGGAGCTGACGACCCAGGGATGGTTATCTAATTGGTCGGTTTATCGATCTGGGAACTAAAGCAGAGCTACAGAACACCTGGTGGAGAACAGGTGAGTCTCTGTCCTACCCATGGCTCTAGACACCGGCAGGTTCCCGATGTACTGGACCTCAAACTTCTGGACTTGGTGCCTCACTGCCTCCAGGAACTCCACTGAAACAACAGGGCATGGTTAAAGAACCGGTACCTGGTACCTGGTGGACCAGGAGCAGGTGAGTCACCTTGTCTGGGCAGGTCTTCAGGTGAGATGCTCTCCATGGTGAAAGAACGGGACGGTCTCATCAGAGCTTTCTCCGACATCATCTGCACGAAAGAAAGAGTTCAGTCAGAACTGAACAGAGCAGGAGGAAACCATGTTTCCATGACGATCAGTGAGAAGATGGCAAACACTGGGTCTAACAATAGGTCCAACAGAACCAGGAACTCCTCCAGTAGGTTCAACAGAACTAGAACCTCCTCCAGTAGGTACAACAGAACCAGAACTTCCTCCAGCAGGTCTAACAGACCTTTCTCCAGTTGTGGTGATTGCTGATGTCTCAGTTGCAGCAACCTGATGAGCTCCTGCTGCCCTGGAGTTGCTCAGACTGATGGTAATCACTTGGTCAGTGTCCTGGTTCTGACCCAGACCACCAGGCTGGACTCGGCTCTTCAGACTTTGGTCTTCATCAGTTCACTAGTAGGGTACTTCAGGTGTTGGAGTCTCACCTTGGAGCACATCTCGTGCAGCGCTGAGGCGATGGCCTTGGCCGGAGCATTACAGCGAAACACGTGGCACTTCAGGACGCAGCTGTCCTTATCGCCGGCCACGAAGGCGAAGTCCCTGAATGCACCACAAACACACACACACAGAAAACCTGGTGAGCGGAGGTAACACAGGGGGAAGTCCATGGATGACCCTGACGTTCGGCTGTGAGTGTGGAGGGGTTTACCTGTCCCTGCACACATAGGGGTGGGCGTGGCAAAGAAACAGAAAGCAACAGTGTTAGAGCGCAAAACACAATGGTGAGCTTGATTTGAACTTCTCAGCATGCAGGAGCAAAGCAGCAGCAGTGAGTCCAGCTTAGCTTAGCACAATGACTGGGAACCCCACCCTTCAGAGGCCGGACCCGTCCTACAGCTACAGGTGAGTCTGACAGTGGACTGTCCAAGCTGGGGACAGACGACATAACTGGTTTCGACTTTAGTTTCTGCACTCAGGATGAACCAGACCAGATGAATCAATCTGAATGCATCAAACTCTCTGGAAACTCAGCTGAATTTCTGATGGGCCTAACCCACCAGCAGGGGGCACTAAGAGCAGATATTCAGATGGGTTATATTCCTGTTCTGCTGAGTTTCCAGTTGTCGCCAGGAGGAATGAACGTTCAATGCTCAGCTGCGATTCCTTAGAAACTTCAAACTACTGTGAATAACTAGCTGAGCTTAATGCACTGTGTGATGACTAGAATCAATAGGAAGTCATGTGTGATTAAACTGACATACTTTTCTGACAAGTGACACAACAATTGTGAATTGGCACAATATAAATAAGTGAATTGAATTGAATAGTTCCACTCATCATAAATTAATAAAAAGCAAGAAATAAAAATAAAAAAATGACATTATTTTAAATTTGTAAAGTTTATCCCACAGATTTATATAGATCTGATGGATCTGATCTGATCTGCTAAAGTTGAGAGTTTGGGCTATTAATCTGTTTTAGAACAACTCTCAATGCTGGTTTTATCATAAACATGTTTTTATGTATGTCTGAACAAACAATCATATCGTGTCTGGATCACACAAATAAAAAAATAACTTAATACTGCGCAGAAATAAACCTGTGAAATAAAATGTTTACTTTTTGTTAAAAAATTAATTTGTTTTATTTATAATTTCCTTCATTATTTACTGTTTTAGTCTGATTTTATCCCAGCATGACTGTAATTAACAAGCTGAATATTATTCTGCCCAGCGCTGTGCATTTGTAATGTCACATAGCGTCACACAACGTTTTTTACTGAAGGCGACTCACGGTACCTGTCATCAGCCTCATTCTGATTGGCTGTCAGCAACACACGTTTACAGTTGGGTCGGTGATCTGTTCACACAACCCAACCGGGTCGCCCAGTGTGTCTGTTTAACCAAGACCAAGGGACGGTTCCCTTCTCTCGCTAACTCGCCCACCTTGCCGACTGACCCAAACTAGCACGGACTGGTCCAGATTTTGCGTACTGCTCCAGACTTTCCCAGTGTTCTGTTCAGGACTGGCAGAGACATCATGTAGCTTGGCCCCAGCTTAGGTTGAATCTAGACCAGGGTTCTGCAGGTCCGGTCTTTGAGTACCGCTGGAGGTTTGGACCTGCAGAACCCTGATCTAGAGTCATGATAATGTAATTGAAGTCGATTCTGAAGGTTTTGCGTTTCGAGCAACCCGGGTCTGATCGACTCACCTGCCGTTGTTGCAGCCCACGCCCCACACTCGGATGTTGATGATTGGCTGACAGTGGAGGGGTGTGTGGTCTAATGGGTCCAATAAGGTCAAGGTGTCTTTCTTGAGAACCAGCATCATCTCCCGACCCTGCAGGTCAGAACATGCTCTCATAAGCAGCTTCCTGCTGACTCCGGTTAGCTTGACCTGTTCTGGTTTATCAGCGTCCATGGATGTTAATGTAACATTAGTTTAGTGAGCCCCCTAGTGGGTGGTGAGTAGAACAGGTCAGGAGAACATTACGCAGGGGAATGGCATTTTTAGTTCTTTCATGTAGGTGCTGTGAATACGACCAACAATATCAAACTGCAGAACTGCTGTCTTTGCACAGAAATCAAACTCAGAGTAAAACCCAGATAAAAATAGGTGCAGTTTCCACACACTGCCACTAGGGGCAGCCCTCACGTCTCACCTCGCCCCAAGCCCCAGACCTGTCTCTCTGCTCGGGGCTGCCGCAGTGAGACAGCTGCTGGATGACGTTACTGACAGCTAAGCTGCTGCGACCCGGAGACAGGTCCTCCTCCTCCACCTGCAGCCAACCCAGGGAGCGAACAGCGAAGCACTGCAGAGAGGCAGGCGACATCAGATTACTGCTCCACAAAACTACGGTGGAGAGAGATTAGAACAGATTAGACCATCAGATTAAATCCTGATGCAGAGGAGGAGCTAAACTCTTATTCTGGCCTCATGCCCTTCATCATCACTTCCATGTTATTGTCAGAGTATTGGAACAAAAGTACAGTCCTTCATAGAGAAGATGTTTTTATGCTACCTTTGAGTCAGGGTCATGGTCAGTGAGATACTCCTCCTGCCACGAAGACCTGAGGAGAAAGAAGTTCATATAAGCTGTGGAGGTTCTGACGATGACTGGACAGTAAAGGATGTCAAGACAACATCTGTATAAAACTGCTGGTTTACTGGGATAAACACTTAGAGCTACTGGTTTACTAGCATAAACACTTTAGAGCTGCTTGTTTATAGCATAAACACTTTAGAGCTGCTGGTTATGGGAATGAAGACAAAAACTGGTGGTTTATGTGAATGTGGACATAAAAACTGCTGGAGAAACAAGGCCAAATCGCCTCCACCTCGCAACTTCTAGGACCTGACTAGGCCAGCAGACTTGCTGAGGTCCAGGTGTCAGGCTAACAGAACATCTGTCTGTACAGAACCAACTGCTCAGAAGTTGTTTGACCCCCAGAGAACCTAACAGACAGACATTCATCCTGAGTTACCATTCCTCAGAGGCTCCTTCCGTCTCTTTGGTGGCGCTCTGGTCTCCTGCCTCTTCCTGCTGTAACACCACAAAAAAAGAGTGGGCTGAGCCACACTGGTGCAACCGGAGAAGCTACAAGAGAAAAACCAATCATGTCTCACCTGTGTCTCAAGAGGCTTTGGTGTCCCGGTAAGGCGGGGGTGCTGCCACTGGGTGGCACCGGTGGGAACGTGCCAGTAGTAGGTCCCCGTGGAGTCTTTGATTGTCCTCCAGCCAGAAGGAAGGTCTGGGTCCAGGAGGAGGTTCTGGTCTGTCCAGATGTTGTCTGCAAGGAAACAAATAGCTGTCATCAAATAGACACACCTGTCTCTGTCAATGCCCCCTAGAGGCAGCAATGCTCCCCACAGGTAACACAGGAGTGAAGTTTTATCAGATCCATTCAAACTGCCTCTATAGCCAACCACTTCTGATCTGCTAGTTATTGTAAAATAAATATAAAATAAAAACATGTACAATATAATTATAGAATTAGTAAATATGTAGTAAAATGAACCATGAGGTGTTAAATGTTTCTGTGCTTTATTTCAGGAAACAAACAAATCAGCTGCTAGAATAAAATTCTCATCACATATGGAGCCAGTTAAAAACATCCCTGATGATCTCTGCCTGCATTTAAAACAGAAACTATCCAGCATTTATGGGAAAGATTGTAAATAAGCAGATCCTCTTTCACAGATTAAAGCACAGAGACAAAGAATAACAATTAAACCATTATTAAATTGAAAAAAACACCAATATAAATGTTTATGGTCCTCTAATCTGGAACAAATTTCCAGAAAACAGAAAGACAGCTGAAACGCTGAGCTCCTTTAAATAAAGAACAAAACCACTTGTTTATAGCTGCCTTTCATTTCTGGTAACTGGAACATTGATCATCATATTTGATGATGGCATTTGACAAAATGTAATGTTTATTGTTTCATAATTGGTGACTGAATGATGTTTCATGGTGAACACACTCTGAAATTTCTTGTTGCTGAAATGTGCTGTGTGAATAAACTTAACTTGGGTCTGAGGAGAAAACCACATATTTATCACTTTTAATCAAGAAAGTTTATTTTTTATCTGTCATTGCAGGCTTTTAAAACATATTTTAACAAATTTTTATTATAAATTTCTCTAAGAGTTTTAAGTCAACTTTCCGTCAATTTGGTGAAAATTTTATGTTTTAATTGAAGTCAAACTGTCATTCAGAAGATTTGAACTCAGACTTTCAACAGAAGTAGAGAACTTATTGATCAGAGTTTGTTCTGTCCAGTCAGTTGCTGGGCTGAAGAGCTCCTGTCCAATCAGCTGTCCATGTCAGCAGGTCACACGTTGTTTTTATATTTTGCTGTGATCAGATGACATATTGATTCTCATGCCTGCATAAAGACAAAGCAGGGAACTTAACCCTCCTCTTCTTTATGTCCTCCTTGTTGACTCAGCAGTTTCATTCCCGCAGATGAAGGTCACCTTGATCATTGAGGGTCGTTGCTGACTCATCAGAACCGTGTTTATCACTCAGGACAGCAGAACCGGCCCAAGGTTGAAGCAGGTCCTGTTGGAGCCTCCAATTACTGCAGCTCCACCTTTACCACCTTTACTTTTTAATGGTCCATGCTTCACAGCTCACCTGGATTTCTACTTTAACGCAGTTAACTGAGTAGTTTTTAACAAAAGCATGTTAAAGTCTGTTCTCTCAGTGAAGGACTATAGAACTGGGTGATGTAGAACTAGGAGATGTGCTCTATCTTCCTGGTTTTAGTCAGAACTCCAGCAACAACATTCTGGATCAAGCTGCAGCTCGACCATTGATTTGTTAGTCAGATCTATTAAGACACTGCTGCAGTAATCAATGCCACTAAAGAGAAACCCCTGGATGAGTTTCTCTGATGCTGAGACATTAGTCCTCTGATCCTGGAAATGTTCTTCAGCTGATAGAAGGCCCACTTTAGAACCGTCTTTATGTGGTTCTGATCTCCTGCAGCAGTGGCTCTCTGAACCCAGATCATGTTGCCGATCCAACATCATGTGTCAGGACCAGGGCCATTGATTGGGTCAAACTGCTGAGCAAGAAGAGATGAAACTGAAGAAGCCGTGAATAATTAATAAACCCTCGGACACACGAACCGCTGAATCAGCTGAGAGAGACTAGACATCCTTCATCTCGCTGAGCTGCTGGACGGAGGCCCGGGTTCTGAACAGAACCAGAACCCTATCCTCCCAGAGTCTCAGGGTCCAGATTGTTTTAAAGCATCAGCCTCTCCGGGTGCTGATATCCAGTTCTGATAGGTCCAAACCAGCCGACAGGGACAGACAGCTGCATGTCCTCTGGAGCAAAAACAGGACAACACTCTAAAGGACTCGCCCTCTTCTTCTTCACAAACACTTCCTTCCTCTTCCTGGTCCTCCAGACTCTGAGGGGTTTTGCTGAAGAGCAAAGAGACAGAGAGGACTCCAGCTGTATTTCAGGAGGAGGAATCTCTAAAACGTTGTCAGAAATAAAAAAAACTTTCCATTGATTTCCAGTCATTATTCAATTTCTGCTGATATGTAGTTAAAGACATGACGAAGAGATGCAGAAACTGATTACAGAGTTTCATCACCAGCAGGAAGATGAGGCTGAAGGAGGTTCTAGTTGAGGCAGAAAGTGGATCAGAACCAGAACCAGAGGTATGTCCTGGTCAGGGATGGGAGTAATGTGAGTGACTGGTTAATATAAACCCAGCAGAGAAAACATTCATGCATCAGAGCAGCAAACTACTAAACTACCAAAGCTGCTTCAGTCAGGAGCCCTGCAGAGCTCCACAAGTTCTGGTTCTTCTGGAGCTTCTTGAAGGGTTGTTGATGAGTGGTTCTGGTGGGTCGGCCTGCTGGGAAGGCTCACTGTGGTTCCAGGTGTGAATCCTCGTTCTGACTGAGATTCTCTGGAGTCCAGAAACTCACAGGTGGTTCTGGAACCATTTCCAGACTGATGCAAGTCAGACTTTGTTTCTTATCAGTTCTAGTTCTACAGCTTGGTCTTTGATGAGCTGCTTTGTTTCTTCATCTTTGTCCGATACTAAACTCAGTTTGACCAGATGAACTCAGGAGCTGCGGGACTTTCTGTCTTTAACTCTGCCACTAGTTGGGATTGAAACTAAAACGTCATTGAGCATCTGAGAATTTACACCCAGAAACATCCAACATAAACTCCAACCTGCATCAGGATTATACGTCCATTATGAGGACTATCCTCATAATGCTGTCCCACGCCCAGGACCTCTGATCGGATGGAAACCTGAATGTGTCTGTGTGGGTGTGTGTGTCTCACCATCATAGTTGACGATGATGATGGCCAGCATGTAATCCTTGCCCATCATGGCTCCACCCTCCCTGGTGAGTTGCAGTCAGCTGATCAGGCCCAGAGGACGGCTGCTGCAATCAGTCTCTCTCCCGCTGTTCCCCTGTCTCTGTGGGTGTCTCTCGTCCCGCCGTCCACCCCTCTCTCAGACACCATCAGTGTTTCTTCTCCTCCCTTGTTTTGTTCCCCGTCCCGGCGTTTTCTCTGCCTCCTCTTTGCCTCTCTCCTCTCCGTCTGATGAAGGATGCTGTTTTCCTCCTCCTCCTCCTGATGATGTCATCACTGCCCTCCCTCTCTGCCTCACTCGCCGTCCCCTGTAAAAAATTACTCCACTACAGCAAGTGATGCTGAAAGTAAAATCTGTTGGAACATCTTCATCCTGAGGCTGAAGCTGGAACAGGAAATACATCATCACGCTCAGTGGAACCGATGAAGATGATGCTGTGACTCTCAGCAGTGGAGAACCTTGAGGTTTTGATGGACTCATATAAATCCAAATATTTCATTTAGCCTCAATGTTAATCCAAACAAAATGAAGAAAAAAAATCTGTTTAGTTGATTAGTTTGTTATTCCTACAAATCTGTCCATATTGAGACATTTTATTTTCATTTTTTCAATATGTAACCTTTAGATTTAGGTCATAGGTGTCCAAACTTTTGGTCACATGGACCAAAATCGTCAGGTAGATGAGCCAGAGCCAGAAAAATGTAATCTTATGTATTCAACAATAATCTAATCATGCAACACTTTAATTAAATTAATAGCTTTGTTGTTGGTAAGGAATGTGTAAATGATTAAAGATCTGGGTTTGCCTCACAAAAAGTAATTTTGATAATTTTCTAGGCATCAATAGGAAAAAAAAAAGAGAACAGAATTTAATTAATTCTGAACAATAAATTCAGGATCTATTAGAGAACACTTGCAGAATTTAGCCAACTTTAATAAATAAAAAAAATTAAAGCAGATTTGGATGCAGCAAAGTCAGTTTTTGAGTAAAAGTCACAGGAAAGATGTGGAGCTTGAAAACAAAAGGCATTAAAAAACAAATTGCTGCTGTGGCCAATGTTTTCTACTGTAGGAAGACTTTAATGTGTCTGTGATGGTGGGGAAGAATTTGCATGATTGCAGGGGCCACACACAATAAGTTTGGGGACCGCAAATGCCCCCGTGACCTCACTTTGGACACCCTGATCAGGTAATGCAGTCAAGCGATGTAAAGCAATATCTATGCATGAATTTTATTGGATAGAAAAACCAAAACAAATAATAAAAAAGGGTCCGTAAAATAGTCACTGTAAATCCACCTGACGGTGTGCTGACGTCACACTGTTTCAATAGGCGTGTCACGGTTGCCACAACTGGCAGTACTTAAAGTAAGCCTTTGCAACAGGAAGTAGAATTATTCACCTCTTCAAAGTAAATGTAATGATAAGTTCTCTGAAGGACTTCAAACAGAATCAAACTGAACATTTTGATTCTGGATTAATTTTGATGACACAGTTTGAATTTCAGTCAGCGGTCAGGCTTGTTCTCCATGTGGACATTCTCTGGGTACTCCGGTTTCCTCTCACAGTCCAGAAATATGCATGTTAGGTCAGCTGCTGCTGCACTGGACGGGTGACCTCTCCAAGATGGACCCCACATACTCACAGACACCTGGAGGCATTAACTGCCCTGCGTGAAAAATAGGAGCAGAAAACAGAAATAATCATCCTTCAAAAATAATTTATATTCACTTTATATTAGCTAGCTGTGAGTTTTATGACTTCAAAAGCATTAAAACGCAAACATGTAGCAATATTATTTTACTTCACCTGTAATATACTAAGGTTTTGATGCTTCAGTTTTCTGTCAGTGGGAAAACTTGAAGATAAAAAGATAAAATCTACAATAGACACAATTAACTACCTGTAACTGATGTTAACCTAAAAATCCTTCAGTCAGGAGCTGATTCTATGGCACATTTGAACATTTAAATGTTCATAAATATGACTTTAAAGAAAAGATAAGACAGGAGAAATCGAAGAGTCAAAATAAATTAAAAATAGGTGACATCAGAAGATTTTATTTTTGACATTCTGACCGGATATGGTGACTGCAGTTATCGAACTTATTAGGTTATTCATTGCAACAACAACACACCAGACTTTGTGTTTAGTTTGGGTGAGTTAGACAAGAAATAGCCTTTAATTAAATCCAGAGTTTAATCGAAGTTTATTTGACGCTTTTAGCTTAGCTAGCGGCTAAGCTCTTCCGGTTAGCCTAGCCGCTAGCTTCGCTCAGCCTCCCTGGGAAGAATCAGCTGATTCCAGGCCCCAACATGGAGGACATGTACGTGAAACCCGGTGAGTTTCCTCCAGAGGATCCGTGCAGTCCGGGAGAATATTACCAGAGTCCCACTGCGGGGATTAAAACGGTCGGGGAGTTGTTAGGCGCCTACTATCAGTCACAGACTGGAACTTCACTTAAAAACCTCTGGATTCAAACTAATCTGATCCATACCATAATAATCTCTGAGTTTAAGTGGATTCATTATGGCGGCGATGACAGGCCTGTGTGACGCGATGAATTCGGGTCATTAATAGTTCATCTAATGTCAGCCAGCTCAAAGTATGAGTGCTGAAACGCTGATGATTCATAAACTTGATCTTTGTTGTGATGTTTGATTATTGATCGTAAATTTCTGTCCTGCCGGATTAAAGCTGTTAGATTGGATTATTGATCAGAGCTAATGACATCTGCAGGTGGTAATCCAAACCTCGTTATTATTTATTTATTTATTTAGTCAGCAGGGAGTCTCTGGACTCTTTTCAGTAAAATAAATGTTTATTAGAGATTATTTTCCCCACCAAGACGTTCAGTTTCAGAGCATCTCTCTATGTTGGTCATAATCAGGATTTTTGCTGAACTGTGTTTATATACATTTTTGTTTCCAAGGTAACCAGGAGCGGGGCTGGAACGACCCCCCTCAGTTTTCCTACGGGCTGCAGACGGCCCGCGGACCTCAGAGGAACCCCTTGAGCAGGAGAGCCGTTCCAGCAGCGAGCTCAGGTAATCTGACTCACCTGAACACTGACTTCACCTCACTTGTCATCTGATTTGAAACATCTGAATCTGATTGGTCTCCAGGTCCAGGTGCTCCATCCCCAGCCCCTCCCTCCTCCAACCTCATGGCCCCGCCCATGTGTAGAGTAGCTCCGCCTCCTCTGCCAGGTAATAGTCAGAACTGTCTCACTGCACCTGTTCAACGCACCTGAGTGACAGCTTCAATGTCCTCCAGCTGGACATCCACCTGAGGCAACACCCACTGCCCAAGCAGGACCAATGAGAAAGCAGGGAGAGGCGGATGGCAGCCAATCAGAACCTGACCTGGACACTGTGATGTCAGTGCTGAACAGAGCGCTTGAGGCCTGCAGGAGCTCCGTGAGGGTGAGTTTTCACCAGCAGGGGGCGCTTGAGGCCCGCAGTACTGCACCTGGCCAGCAGAGACACACACTAATGCATCACTTGTCTGCAGGCTCAGGTGTGTAATGAGGTCACTAAGAGGCTCCGCCTCCTGGAGGACAGCTGGAGGTCAGGTAAACTCAGCCTACCTGTAACCAGACGCATGGACGTCCTGTCCCAAGGTAACCTGTCCCACCTGTCTGTTTCATGCCTGTCTCACCTGATTGTCCCACCTCATATCTCACCTGTCCACCTGTGTATCCACCTGTGTGTCCCAGAGCTGCAGGCCGGTCACTGGGACTCTGCTGATGAAGCTCATCGCTCTCTTATGGTCGACCATGTGACCGAGGTCAGCCAATGGATGGTTGGCGTTAAACGGCTCATCGCTGAGACCCGCAACCTCAGTCCAGATCACCTGAAACCGCTCCAGAACCCAACTGTACCAGCCCAAGAACCAATGGTACCTGCCCAGGACCCAACAGAACCAGCCCAGGACCCAACAGAACCAGTCCAGAATCCCACAGAACCAACCCAGAACCCAGGATGCCAGTCCTGAGTTTCCCAGAACCCTGCAGTCCAGCTCTGGGTAACTTGGCCGGGATTCTGTGCGGTTCTTCTCATCTTCTGAGCTGGACTGGTTTCAGTTGTTTTGGTATCGGTACCATCAGGTTCTGTTCACC